AACGACCAGTTTATGATTCGCAATACCAAGTACGTACTCGTCATTGATTCTCGACGATATAGTTCTGTGAAATAAATGTTGAGTGCGAAAACGGCCGTAAATGGACAATGGGCACAGTGCCTATTAGCAGGAAGATTTTGTAATTATTGAGATATTGAGTGACAAGACAAGCACATTACTTTCTTTTCCAATTTTGGCCTATGACGCCTATTCTCGAAAAGTTATGGCAACCGTTCCGCTCATACGAAATTAAATTTTTACCGTTTGGAAAATTTCAACAATAGTTCGATATAAGTTAAATCATTACATAAGCTTTGATGAATTCAGTCTTCAAGCAATGTGTAATGTTCTGCGGCTGTTTCTCTAAAATACGTTACCTGCAATAGGTCGTTTTCCCATAGTAAATAATAAAGTGTTTCTGATTTGCACACCATTGTTATCCATAACGAGACATTCTTCTATTGAAAGATTACGTCAATTCGACATTAGATATATGCCGTAAACGATCTCCTTTCCAGCCGTGGCGGATTTATGTAGAATTTTTCAATGTTCGCTTTAAAGTAAAAAGTGAAGAAGAAATCAACCTTATTGAAATTGCTCCACGTAGGTCTGTTTTTGTATACCACCTCATAATTTTCGTGAAGATATTTCCGAAATCCGGTCACTCAAATAGTCGTTAGAAAGAAATATTCATGTTCCGGACGCAGAAGTGCTCCCGATCGATTTATCAATGCATGAGCAATTTAAGAGCAAATTTTAATGCTAATTCGTTTCCCGAACGAATTAATTATATAAATTATTTATTAATTTATTTATTAATTGATTTAAAGAGATGAAAGTGAATTTCGCAAATTAATTATTAAATTTGAATTCATTTGAATTTATATGAAATTTAAAAGTTTTTTTTTATCATAGAACGTAGATAGGGATATAGTTGTAGGTGGTCTATTGAAATTTATATAAAAGTCGTTTACATTAAAGCATATAATGCTAGCAGCACACTAACGTCATTTCGTTGAACTAGTCGGTGAAGTGTTAGCAACACTTTGCAGTGCAGTAGCAAGTTAGATAGTTAATGCAATAGGACCGAAAGTACGCCTGCAAGCAAACAATCATGTGTTGCTCGCTGTGGTATTGATGTCTGTTTGGGTCTTGCGGCGGGTTGATGTGACCTAGATTTGCGGGTTATAAGCAAAGCAATAGGAAGAGCAACTATTGATTAACATCGGAATGAAATTCAGTACAACAGCTACAACAGCGATGACATTACTACTACCAGTAGCAGCAGAAATAGTACTTTCAATAATACTGCACTAAATATCTATCCGTAGAAACACACAAATGTGTATATCTTTCACATCATTGTATCTGCTCTGTGCTAAGGGGTTATTCATTTTTTTCTTGTTGTTAATTCTATCCAGTTTTAACCCATATACGTGTAGGAAATGTCAGCTTTAAAATGCTGTGACATAAACATATTTATGTGTGTATGGATATGTAACATGGACAACTATGAGGCAATATATAACTGAAGCCAATTACAAATGAATTTGTGATTAGAAAATTGAACTTATTTTCTTCAAATAATTGGAAATTTTTTTATTTCAATCGTTGGATTATGTGAGTGTAAAGGATATTTCCTTGAATACCTTTGCTATTTTAAAGAAAGTTATTAAATATATTTTCCCTTTTTTTTTTTGCAATTAGTGTGGTAAACGTTGCTGTTTTTTAATGATTTTTTTCCAGTAACAGTAAATCTTAGAATTAGAAGTAAGCAGCTGTTATTCTTTGCGCGATTATATGAGACGAGAGGTAATATATCACAAGGACTTACAAAGTTTGAAAGCTAGAGGCTATTTACGGTTTTGAGTTTGTTTGCTTGGGAAAAATCCCAAGCAGAGAATGTTGTTGAAGTTCTGAGTTTTCAATAAATTTTCGCGCATGAAATCGTTAAAAATATTACAATAAACCAACGGAAATAGTATTCCGGCCACTTGGTTTTTTTATTGGCGTTTACAACTCTTTTCTAATATCTTCAGTCCTTAGACGAGAAATTTTTGCTTTTTGCAAGCAAATTGTAAGCAAATTCTGATATAATCTTATGTCGCTGGTGTTTGGTTTCTGACATAAACGCTGCTTTCGCTTTAAATTATTTCATGTAAATGTAAATTTCTGTTCTAAACTCGCTCGTTAACGTTTGAAAAATAAAAAAAGAAAAGATCGACAGACAGATTGAGCAAAATCTTGCTTTGATCAGAAGTAAATGCCGAGATGTCTAAAATGCTCTTTCTGATAAGTGGAAGAAGAGATCTTTAGTATCAACTTTAACGCATACAAAACTCATAATTTACAACATCTGCTTTTCTTTATTATTTTCGAAGCCGTGTGTGTTGAGACTAAAGAAGATATACTTGATTAAATATTGAAAATGTCAAGGTTGTAAACATAACCAGCTATGTGGGCGTTAATGTTTAAATTAATTACATTCGTAGCATTGGTTAGACTAAAATGTGCTGTCATAGGTAAAGTAGTATGCATAACACGCATCCGTGTACATCGCGAGTGCAGAGAGATATGCAAAAATGGGCAGAAATTATACCGAAATATTTTTATACTAAGAAAAAAAGGGTGGATTTCGATTTATTTACTTATTATCCGCTGCATTACAATACGCAGATGTATGCATCAAAATTTTGAAAAGTATATAATTTTTGGGATAAGCGACATACATATTCTGGATTGATTAAATCTTGTTCGTCTCTCCGTCAAAAAAATAAAAATATTCATTTAATGGCAAATATTGATATAGAACTTGGAGCAAATTATTAATATATTCAGCCTTCAAGAGACAAGGTTCATTTTGACTCGTTTATAAACACACCCATAAAGGTCAAAAAGGTGAATTTACTATCTCTAGCTGACATTGAAGTATAAACACATTTTCCAAGTTTACATCTAACTCATCAATGAATACTTTGTAATATTTTTGATACGAAATTGATGATCGGTGGTAAAGGCTCGCGTCAAATGAATATTTGTAAGCGAAGCTGTTTCGGTTCATACTTTTGAATTTAACTTGCATTTTCACGTGGAGAAATCATACCAAAAAAAAAAAGGTAATTTTACCCCTTAGAAAAACCGGTATCAACTTGCTTATATATACCTGATAAGGCAGTGATCAAATTTGGCCTCATCTTAGATACTATACATTATAGGCATATCGAAATAAACTTTCAAATTAAGTTTCATATTAAAATTTCTATTAACTTTACGATAATAAAGAGTCAGTCAGTTAGAGCAATTTGCCAATTTATCGTATCTTAATTAAATTACGAAAAATACAAGAGTCAAATATTTAAAGAATAAAAGAGGTAACGAAACTCAATTTAGATTAACATCAAATAAGAAAAGTTTTAATTGACGCATTTGACGCGTCGAGACATTAATTTATTTATTATATTTCGCTAATTATACATTCAGTTTATTTCCATTACATTATAATCTGAAAAAGTTATTAATTTGATGCATGTATAAGTTGTTTTAAATTGAATGAACCGCAATATTTTCAAAGTTAAATTAACTTAAGTTTAACTTAGTTGAGTTGAATTGAGTTGCGTTGAACGCTATGAATGCGAAGAGTGTATACCGAATATAAACGTAAACTAAATAATAACTAAGCATAACATAATACAAAATTAAATTGAAATTAAAAAACCCTCTGGCTAAAAATACAATTACCTTCAACGTTACCTTTTACATCAGAGATTTCAAAAGTTTAATGATTACGCATACATCTAAAACAAACAAAATGAAATAAGGATTTGTAGCACTTGTAAGAAATTCACAGTCGACATCTATTTGCGAACTTTAAAGGGTATCATTATAAAGATTCACGTGTATGTTGTATCAACGAATAAGGACGACTTTTTCAGAACATTTTATAGATGATGAATATTTACTGTCGGGCACCAGGTGATTATAAATTTAATTATTATAATCTCTACTATCTATGGGAAGGATGTATTACCGTTACGCGGATGTATGCAGCAACCAGGAAAACTGGAGTTAGAATCACCTTTTCGTGATATTCAAAAAGATTTGCAATAAGCACACGTTTTATGATTTCTTCAGAATCATTGTGGGAATGCCCGCCCATCCCGATGACTTTCGGATGTTGGGTTCAATCCACAGTACCCAAATTTTCGAGACATTTTGATGACATTTTATGCACAGTGTTTTGGGCCAAGGGTGAACGCGCTTGAGAATGAATTCGATCGAATCACTTTTACAATCGCACCCTATTTCTTTTCCTTGTATTCCTTAGCAGGAATCAATGAAACGTAGCATCTTGAAATACTAACTGAATTTGAAGAACGTAGATCAGACGGAGTCATTATGTGAACATTTTAAGTTTCTTTCAAGAAGTATGGTAAAATATTATCTGATTATGTAAATTTATTATACTAAGTTCGGACCACGTAAATCTATTTTTCGAAATTCCTTTTCACATACAAGGATTCTTACGAGAGGTGAACCTTTAAACGATACCAAGTTATAATTTGTGGTGAGGTGAATGAGAAGGTCTTTGGCGAGAAAATTAACTTCACCGACTTTTACCCAAAATTAACCTTTCGACTCTCCCCCCTACAATGGTTCTCACGACCGATTCGTCGTCCATAGGACTATTAGTTTTTAAAAACTACCTGACGCAACTAGATTGCTGATAAACTGTTCTGTTGCTGACAATTTAGATTCAATGGTAAGAAAAGTGCGATGATATGGTAGTGCTCGATGTTTAAAAAAATAATAGATTTCTTTTTAGGAAAAAAACGGGAAATTTTCCTTTATTTTAATAAATTAAATATTGAAGATAAATTAAAGTCATCATTTTATTTGGTTGCAGCACATAAATGTTGGACGAAAAACGAAGGGCGCCTCTACCGATGTTTGTTCAATTTTATTGGAAAGACCTGGTAAAGATTTACTTTTAATTTATGTTGTCATAGTGAAGTTGATTTACCGTATAGTTTCCAAGTTCCAGTAGCATGTGAGCCGGTTCGCACCCCCAAGAATAAGAAATCGGGCAATTTGTCTACTCTATGAACCATGAAAAGACTACGTTTATATTCGCGACTGCTCACTACTATTGTGTTATTCTTGAAGCTTATCCAAAATTCTACGAAATTATTCTCGTTTACAATGTCAGGGGTGGAGACGCTCGCAACAATTTTTTTACGATTTTTACGTATCGCTGACCTTCTGTTGCGCCATCCACCGATAACAATTTCATAGATGGGATCAGCTACTATAGGGGTTTTGGTAAGCGCTAGCTGAACATCTCTCGAGCAGCACACTTCAAAATGGAAACGGCGATCTTCGTTTACGCGAAAAAACTGATAGGATGACTCTTTCGGCGTGACTAGCTCTATATATAAATCAAAAGGAAATGAGTTTAATCTAACATAACTAGGGCATATTTTTACCTATTGGCTTCTCAAACCGCAATGGTGATAACATCCAGGTGCCGGTATCACCGCAATCTATGCTTATAAAATTTAATTCAAATGATTTGGTAGCCAAGTGAGATATGAAAGGTTTCCCCAAATCTTTAACACCGATACTAATTAAGTGATTTTCAAAACTTAATAAAAGTTCGCAACATTTTAAAAGCACATTTGTGGAAATTTCGGTTACGTCACATTTGTTTCCCTTCCTTTTTATGGAAGACTTTCCATTCGATTCTCCGCTTATAACCACCTCGTACATATCATTGTTTTCCTTAGGGATTTTAGCTAAGGCTAAATACGCCTGCGCGCAATCCTTGACTTCAAAACTGATCTTCTTATTACCATAGAGTGGAATAAATTGATGCAATTTTTTTGAAGTATTCGTCTCTTTTAAAGAAGTAAACGAGAAGAGCATTACGTTTTTTCAATAAGAAATTCATTTTCAGATTTCATTCATTTCGTACTTACCGCTGGACATTTTTTGATATAATTTCTGCTGTTTTAAAATAAAATAGCTCGGGGAGAATAATGGGTTTTTTTTTTTGTTTGTTGAATAATAATCGATACACACGACTTGTCAGACAAACTTTTCTTTGAAAAATTATAAAAAGGAAACAATATTTTAAAATTTTGCAATAAATAGCACGGCCAACTCGATTGCAATGGATACGTATATTACTTAAAGTGTTTTTGATTCTTCTTCTTTTTTTAAAAATTCACCGAAGCAACGACTGAGAATTCGCTATGCTATGTGAGAAAGGTTCACTTTTGAACGCAAAGTTCTTTATCTGAATCTTAATAAGGTTAAGGCGTAGTTTTAGTTATAGATATCCGATCGAATCAACAAATTTGTTCAACTAATCAATACTGCTTCCGCAATACCATACACCATTAATGATATAAAGTTATTTTAAGTTTGTGCGCACGTATATAACGGCTAGAAGACTGGAGGCAGTATCTCTGTTTATTATACCAATCGCTTGTCTGTCTGTCTGTCCTTCGGTCCGTTTATTGCTGGCCCACGTACATTATATAAGTCGAAATTTTTGAAATATTTTGATGGAATTTAGTTCGCTGATGGCTTCTGTGGACCTGTGGACGAGCGCTATTGAAAATGGTTCGCATTGGAACATTTTTCCCGATCATTTTCCTCGTAACGCCGTATTTTGAACAGTCGTTATATGAATAACAGTTCTATTAAGCGAAGCAGTGTATGGTCTTCAATGGTGATCTGTGGCTCACAATGGCCAGGTATGTTATGTACTTTGCGCAAATTGTTTAGGTCTAGAATTCGTGACAAGTATATAATGTAAACCGGCCCCGTTTGGTTAGCATTAACTTTTGAACTAACTTTTATTGAGTTTAACCTCCTCGCAACTGACCGACGACGTTGAGAGATATGCATTATAAATATGAAAAATTACATTACTGGGAATTTGTAATGATTTGAAAGACTTCAGAAGAATAATGCTAAGGCCAATGTGAGGAATGGAAGCTTTGACAAAAACAATAGAAAAATTTATACTTAATGCAATCTTGCTGGTTTGTGGTGTCTTTCGCACGCAGCATTCACCGTCAAAAATTTCTATGCACGAATGGCGGTAGTAGGAAGTTAAGAAGTGCCTGCTCCCTTTCACGTCAAAAAGGAAAACTTGCTCTGCAATAAATAGCCACTCGATCGGTGCCTTGCAAACGTAATTCCCCTTTTTCTATTCTCCGTTAGCCTGCACAAGTTTTACTCTATCATCCCAGATTTTAAATTAGCATTAAACACATACAAAGAAAGATAGAAAATATTATTTCTATCATCCTCTCTGCCACCTGTACTTTATACCAATAAACACGATTGGTTGAAAGAAAAAGATTGAGACTGAGAGTGAGAGTGAGGGATGAAGGGAGCAGATCACATTTAGTATTTGTACATTTGTATTTGTCATATTTAGTTCGATAGATCGTAATATTTTTTGAATGCTACACACATTCACTAATCAAATGTATCGGCGCATGTTTGTGAAAGTGTTTGTCGCCGTGCGGATGTTTATCATCATTACAAATTTCTGTTTTATTGTTTTCCTTTACCTACTACAACTTATCAAAGCAAGACAAACTTTTCTATTATGTTCAATGAAAAGTTGACAAAAACGTTTCATTATACTATTTGTAAACAAATTTCACTACGATACGCATGCATTTGTGTACGTATGTGTATTTACGCAATATATACGAACGTTTGTGCATGCCTGCAATGCCTTTTGAATGTACTTTTATATTTACATTACTTATGTTCATTGTGTTGCAGTTTATTTGAAAAAAAAAAAAAAAATAACAAAACGTTTGTTGTGCTCTTTACGTTCGTTCATCTGCTTATTGTTGCATTATTTTGCTTTTATTGGAATTTCAATTGCTACGTGATATGCCAGAGTAGAAGCGAACAGATATTTTCTTTTATTCTAAATTTCAATTATTTGGATTTTTATTTGGTCTATTTTGAAGGTAGTTTGATAAACGTTTGTTATTTCATTAGTTGCGCGTAGATTAATTTTTCCCTACAACGATCTTTTGCAGAGAAATTTTGCTTAAATTTCTGACTCTGTAACTCTGAATATATCTTGAAAACTTATACAATTAATAGCAAGCGATTTTAAATTCAAAGACAAAGTATATGAAATATTTAAAGGATCTGTCAATTGACAGATTCTAAATGATTTCAGAAAATATTTAGAAAAAATTCTCAATTCGTTATATTATGAGTTGTTTCACTTCCACCTGATGTCCATTATCTATGCGGAATGTTGCGAGATTCTATTCTTATCTCTGTTTTTATGTGTTCTACACCACTCGTCTTTGATATATGTATACTTTATGGAAGACGTGAACTTGATCGATTTAGAATCATTTTTTGAATCAAATTGTCTCTCTGTCCGTCTAAGCTTTGTCCAAGTAATGTTGCCTTCAACATATTTGATAAGATTTGGTACACTCATGTTTTTTTTTTTTTTTTTGGGCCAAGACTGTTCAAAATGTGTTGAATGGGAGCAATTTTGCGGCTACTCTTCATCTAACGCCATATTTTTGATGCGCTTAAATTTCTTAAGTTGATTTCGTCAGATTCATCCGTTTGTTCGTTCATCCATCTGCCCCTCTGCTTGCCTGCCTATTGTCAATAGTATCGAAAACTGAAATAGAAGCAACGCAATAAACGCTTCTACTTTCAATGTATTAGCAAATGTTGGGTTTGATCTTCCACGAGGATCGTTCAAATCTCAGAGAAAAAATAGTCGTCGTGCCCTTACAAAATTACCGACCATAGCTACGATTTTTGGTCTCTAAAGTAATTTGATATAAACTCGTTACGTTAGTTGAAATGCAAAAATAAAAGTCGTGCTTAGTCAATCAACTTGCAATTATAATTGATTGATTGATCGCTATCAAAAATGCCGATTTAAGGCATCTCTATGCAAATATGTAACACTTAAGAATCCTAATAGAAATCAATCGTATACGTAGCTAATTAAAAAAAACAAAAATATATATATATATATAAATAAACAATAAAATTTTAAAACCAAAAAATTCCAATGAACATTTTTATTTAATATCTTTTACAAGCTCGTTCGCATTCGTACAGCGTGAAAAAGCGATTAGAATTGCCGCCACAACCGTTATACTCGAACTGTACGCATTGGTTAATTGACGATTTATAGCTCCAGGATGGAATGCGGGAAGCGCAAGCAACCGAACGACGGGCTACCTGAGCAGAATCAGGTAAATTGCATATCTCTAGAATAGATTGCACCCGAAGAAAATTAAAACTAGCAAAGAATATATGTAAAGTTTTTGCGTAGGAGCAACAGCTTACCGTCACTATCCTTTTCAAAATCATGTAAAAATGCAGCTACACTGGTCACCGAAATAAAAGCCGCGACAATGGCCAACAAACCTTTAATTAAATTCATTTTTCAACAAAACACAATTTTCTAGTCACAAACAAGTTCCAAACACGAACTGATTACTTTCGTTACGAAATGTTCAGCTTTTAAGCGACTGAAATAGTGTGGATCGACGAAAAGCGTTTAATGATGTAATTAGATTGCGGAACGAATCTGAATATTTATTTGATTCGTAATAGATGTAAAACATTCTGGTCGGGCAAGACCGACCGTTATATGAAGTATAGCATTACGTGTAAAGCAATTATTCATCTAATTGCAAGAAAAACAATCACTTATCACTTATTGTCATGTAAAGGTTTTGATAAGAGCTCTCGCATGGCAGGAGATACGAAAGATGAATCCGGGTAATTCAAATTTAGTAAAATTTATTCACTTCTCCGCACGTTTTCGTCACAAAACATGAAGCAACGAATCATGTTGCCATATAAAGGCTTCCGTCAAATGTCAGAACAGTATTTTTGATCGATTTTCATCATAAACGATAAGGTATTGGAAGTTCTTGTCACGTTAAGATATTTCCATCGGATCAATAGATTCCGCATAGCTTTCTGTGGACTAAAACGCTACAATATTTTTCATCGACTTTTATAAAATTATATTAGAAAAGTGTTATGCGGGAAGTGATCCTGAACTAGTCCGATGTAATTTAATTTCAATAAACCTCGTTTTTGGGCTGAAACATGTCCAGAGTGTGCTGAACTTTTTTTAAAATATTTCGGTAATTCCGAACTTTAGGTTGTACGTAGGATTTCATGAACAGATATTAGACGGACAAAGGGGTTTAAATCTATTCAGAAAAATTACAGAACAATTTTCTGAATCAATAATTATTCTCCATAAATAACACGAAATCTTTGAAGGTCTTGAGTACGGACATCTTAACACAAACTTAACGTAATCTTAGCATTTAATTTCGAATGTTCCTGATTTGTTATTACGTCATAATAACAATGTAATCCGCTAGTAGTTATTCGAAGAGAGTCTTCTAAATTTTCATCTGCTTACAACTTACAGCTGTATTTTATATTTGCAAATAAATATTTCAATGCCTAAGAGTTATTAAAAATGTAGCACTTTGGGTCATTTTTCCTCACGAAATAAAAATAACCACATCTCACATTTGACAGTTGCACTACTGCTGGGTCGGTAGCAAAGCAAGGCAAATACGATCCCATTGCAGTGTTGTCATGTGCGATTAATTTGAATTATTTGAAATTTTAAACGCAGCGGGACGGGATTGCCTTTGCATGCTTTTAACTTTTCGAAGCAATTATTATTTTTGGAAAATATAGATAAATGGCAGCACCCGACCCATTCCCCTGACCATTATTTGACTTAAAAAAGTATCACTTTATTTAAATATCTGCGTTTAGGGCAATTCGTAGAATCTTTCACAAATTCTGCCTTTGATGGGTTTGGAAAGCATTTGATTGAAAAAACTTCAGAATTTCTTCACAAGAAGGGATTCTTCCACTAAAGAAAAACATTTAAATAAACTGATCGAAAAACTCTTATCAGGAGCACTAGAGAATATTATTTCAAAAATGTGGGAAACACGTATGTTGTTCGAGTGGCACTGCGTGATCCTGAACATTCGAGTTACTTGCTTTGGATATATTACGATTGGTTATCGAAACAGTCCATTAATAATTGTGTTAAGTACATCTCAAAAGATATTGATCTATGTTAGATGACAATAATTTTGAAAAGTTAAAATTGCGAAAAACAGATTTGCTTTTGCTAGCAAAACTACTCGCAGTTGTCTCTCACAATAGACATATCAATGCATTTGTGCATAAACATAGCTGACGATTAATCTTCAAAGAATTGCTCACTAGGACACGACATTCGATAAGGCGTCCTAATGATTATTTGAAAAGGTTACGCACATAATGTCGGTCTATCCTTAAGCATGCTATGTAGAAAATTTTGTCCTAAAGATTTTGACTCAACTTTTAGTTTCATTCTTTCCGCATTCTTATGTGTTTCTCTAACACATAAGAATTATCTTGAAAGAAAAATAAATTAATAAAAAAGAAAGTAAATAAATAAAAGGAAAAATTATTTCAAATCCCATTTGAAAAAATATTCATTCCTTTTTGCATAACGAATCTGAATGTCTCACAAAAAATATGCCCTAAGCTAAAGGTGTTTGTAATATCCTTCGAAGAGTAAAATTGCAAATATTGCAGTTATACTGGAAAATTACGTTAGTAAATCCCTGGTAGAAAATACATTTGCATAAAGAAAAATTACAATTTACGGTTTTAAATGAAAAATATAAATACATGTAAAGGTGGATACAGAGAAAGCAAGAGAGCAAGAGAGAGAGTGAGATAGATAGGGGCAGAGAGAGACTAAAAATGCAAAATGTTTGCAAGCAAAACAAGATTTTGCATCAAAAATGGCAGCATAAGCAAAACAATACAGAATAGAGGTCACATTTGGCTATGGTTGATTACTCCGATACTCTCGTCCTCATCTCATCGTCACGATTGCTTCGAGAAGTAGGAGTACTAATCCATTTTTCACATCTGTGAAAAGATATTGTCTAGGCAATGAATTGAACTCAAGTCCAAGTCCATTTGCGTTGAAAGACACTATTGATTAAGTTTTCAACTAAAATTGACAAATAATTCTGGGAAAACGTATTTAATACCAGTTAGTGTTAGTTAAAAATTTAAAGAAATTTCTTACTAAATCATTCACTTAAAATTATCATAAATTTTGTGAGTGTTGTACGCGGATGCGATGATTATAAAGATGCTTAAAATTTATATGATCTTCTAGAGATAAGTTAAAGTTTACTTTCCACTCATTGCCTTGCAAAGGCAAGGACAAGTAGCTATGTTTCGCAAGACGTTAGTGCAAAATACTTTCTCGACGCATTCATGTTACTTATGAAACAAAGAAATGAATATACCCTTTCATTGTGCATAGAAGAAGCAAGCTCCTAAGCTGTTAGAAGGTAAATCTGATAGTAAAAATAATCTTTAAGTGAAAAAATCCATAAGTGCAGTTTTTGGCTTTGTTTCGAGAAATAACAAAAATCGAATATTTTGTTTTTTTTTTTGTTTTTGCTTTTTTATTAAAACAAGTTACCAATAAAAGTATACGAATGTATACGTTTTCTTATTCATGCCTTCTGTTAGTTAGTATGGCTGCAAAACTATAGGCTTCTGGCTTTGTTTTTTTCCAAAAACCATAAAGACACTAATGGTAAATGTAACTGGCTCTGGGCCAAGAGTGGATTTTATTATGGTTTACTAAAGTTTTTCTTCTTTTTTTTATTTTTTTTTTTTGTTTTTTTTTTTTTTTTTATTTCTTTACTTAAATTTTGTAATGACATAAATTTTTATTAAATTTTCTGAACGTAGGAGTGGTATAGAAAAATTTGCGATAACAACTAGTTTAAAAAAACAAAATATTGAAAACAATTTTTTTATTTTTAAATATATATAAAATGATTATAATTTTATCTTTAGGATTTTTAAAAATTTAATTAAAATTGAAAGACTGAGGTAAGTATTGTTTACGAACCAATTTGATTTTGACTTGGTTACAGTTACGATCTATAGTATAGTGCATAACAAGTGCATAAGCAAGAATGTCCCTGAATTATCTGCAAATAAATGGAAATTTTGCCAGATTTTTTAAGGTAACTTAGTTATGGCAAAGCTACGCAAATGCATTTTGATTCACTTTGTTATTAAGTTCTTTATAATTTATTTGAATGCATATCATTGGCTCGTTAATAACAATCGAACATACTTTAGCCATGAGGGCTTCAAAGCAACTAATGACGGTACGGATGCTTTCATCACTATGCAGTATTTAAAAATTAATTGAAATACCTTGACTAACGGTTAAAAATGGTAAAGTTAGTAGGAACTCAATAAGAATCACGTAAGATAGGTTTACAGTTAGTACTTAAGTACGTAGCTGTACAAACTTCGTTCTGTTTCAAGAAAAACGAATCCAACTGCTTTTTTTCTTCTTCTAGTCTTGGTTGACGACCAGCAATAATAAATTGGTCGAATATCGAACAGAGTTACGTGACGTGCTTTTAATGTTGCTATCCCAGTAAGCAGATATACAAGCTTCGTTCCGTTCCCTGAAAACGAATCTGAGGATCTATATTATTGGGTCGGAAAGTCAGTGAATAGTGAATATACAAATCTTCCACCTTATCGGACTTGAAAAAGTTGATATTAACGTTAAAATTTTGAAGAGATGTTAAAAATATTTATTTAAAGACCAAGCTAACAAATATGTTCGATTGGCTCAGTGAACCGACATTGCTAATAAACTTTCAAAAGTCTGCTCTCAGGTAAAAGCACTTTCTCACTTGTTTTAAAAATAAATTTTTCCGAACCAGTGAGACCTTGACCTTGAAATCGTTATCGAACCAATAGATCCTCTTATCTCAACCGTCTTTCAACGTAGTTGGCATCGAGAACAGAGCAGTATAAACGTAAACTGCCAATGAGTGTTTTATATTAAATAGATCTATGCTACCTTATATTAAATGTTAGTCAAGGGAATTTGATGACTTTTATATTAGCTTAGTCAGATCCAATTGTCCAATTATTTACTTAGTTAGCTTACTTTGTAAAAGTCATATTTGAAATTTATCGGTTTTTTAAATATTGTTGAATCTACTCTTTACACCTGACATTACTTATGGTACCTTACGATAGTGTATGTACATAACATTCAGAAGGACTTAAAGTAGATCCAATTTTTTGTTTGTCTGTCCCGCTCATGTACTTTCAGAAATATTTGAAAGAAATTTTTGATAGACTGACGTGTTTCAACTGCTGAAGATGGATGGCCTCGGATCATTTTTTTGACAGATCTCCACACAACGCGTTTTTTTCAGACAAGAATTGTTGAATTGTAGCAAACCGGCATTCTAATGTGTTGTGACAAGTTTCGATGAGACCAAGTTTTTAGCCTTCTTCTAAATAACTTTCCTGAAGCAAACTGAATTTTGCCAAAAATTCAATGTGAAAAAAAAATCAAATTTTC